GGGGTTTAGGTGCAGATGTATACAGCACCGACTTGGTGTTTTGATTTAATTTATAATTTTCTTAAGTTGGACTTAGATATATTTTATTGGTTAGTTTGAATAGGTAATTGTTTCGAGGCGTGAAATATAAACTATGCGTCCAATGAAATGATATATAGTCTTAGTAACTAAATCATAAATAAATCTAGACCGAAGTAGTGGGTGATTAGAGCGGAGCATATAGACAATAGTCTCAGTCTAAATCCCCTAATTTTTTGCTCATTACCAAGGGCTGAAGCTAAACTGATTTAACATTTTGCATTTTAACGTATTAACGTATTGTCTTATTACCGTAAACGTCTTGGTATCGTATAGTCAGCCTAGAGGAGACCGACTTTTACATCTGTAAGTGACTCTCTGAAACCTTCTTGTTCATGCTCTGGGTCCTCTTTATGTGGTGTGAGGAGCGATTCCCATTTTGCATCTGTTGGTTTAAGTGGATTGATTAAAACCGCTATATATATACCTATGTATGGTAGAATGTCCATACCTAGAAGTATTGGTGTTTCCTTTTCAGGCAAGTACAATACTTCAAAACACTGAGATGTAGGTCTTTCTGCCTCCGTAGTTAATGTCATAAACTTCTGTTGATCCAGTGCGTTGTATTCTTGCATCTGTTTGTGCTAGTTGTATGCAACCCGGTTGCGCTCTAACAGAGAGATATAGTTCTGATACTACACTTTTGTCCATACATGAGCGTTGTGCGCCGGAGTCTACTAGTGCATTGTATGTGTTACCATTAATTTATATGTCAATGTGTAACCGTTAATCTCGTGGTGCGGGAAGTAACGATAAAGGCTGATAATTTATATCATTTGCATTTATCAACAACGTTTCTTCATCTGTAAATACATTGAATCTGTCAGCCCCGTCAATCATGTTTGCTTCCGCCCACCAGTGTTTTCAGTGTTCATCACCTTCAGTGATGTCTTCCACCTTGCCAGATGTGATGGACAGTCTTGCTATCTGCACATCTTTCCTGGCTTGTTGCGCAGCCTTCTTAGCTTGATATGCTTTCTTCTCGGGACATTCGCTGTACCGATGTGGGGATGGCGATTCATGACAGTAGGGCATGCACGCTCTTCACGTGCCCCTTTCTGTTTCTGTGTCTGCCCCCCTTGCTTGTGCTGGTTGTGCGTACCATTGTCTGTCTTATGACGTTTGTTGGCGTTCATAAAGTTATCCTCCACCTGCGTGTTCGCCTGCGTATTGTTGCGTTTATTTGCATTATTTGCAGCTCGCGCCTGATCCCTCAACATACGCTCAGCTTGTGTTACTGACGCTATGCGTATGTGGTTCTCAGTCATAGTATAAAACTTGGTATGTTCGATGTCAGACAAGTGTCCTTCACTTCCATCAGGTTGCTTGTCTTTGTCCACTACTGATTGTAGTCCATAGTACTTCAGTGCTAGGTACCTTTGTACTTTGAGGATTTGTAAGTGTATGGGTTCTTTGTCTGAGTTGCAATAACGCTCTTCTAACATTGCCATTGTCTTATGTACACGCTCGGTGCGCACTTCGACATTCATCTTCTTATTCTGCATGTCATTGATAAACTTCTCCAATATATAGTCTACTGGGTGCGATCTGAGTCGATCAGTAATGATTCTATTGAACTGCTCTGGATCGGTGAAGTGCCTGGTTGTTTGTGTCTCAGAGTCTCTTATGTTATTGAGAACTGCTTTGGTTTTCTCCGTTGCATCAGTGGAGTCTAATAGTCTTCTCGCTAGTGCTGGATACTGATACAATGGCATTGACGTAGCTAAGAATAGATCATTACATTGTGTAGTGAACTCTATGATATCCTCACAATTTTCCAATCTAAAGAAACTATCCTTAGACATTTTAGGAAACTATGAAGTTTTGAGTAGTTTCTTAAGAGATGGTCATTTATCTGGTCGCCTAACCGAGAACGCATGAGCTCTAGATCACTAATGTACAGACTGATTTGGATAAGCTTGTCCTTCTCATCATCACCGCAATCGTTGATCGCTTGATCATGTCGTCGTCTGAGCTCCGCATCCACAAGTGGCATGCAACGCTCTGGCTGTTGGTCATGTATGCCTACCCTCATCTTATGTAGAGTCGGTATGGCCACCGGTGCAGTTTGTTCCAATTTGGATACAAACCGACTCATCAAGACGTGATTGCTTTGCCAGATGTTCTTGTCTATTTCTAGACGCATTGCTGAGGTTGCCATGGGTACCCCCGCCGGTGTAGGCTGACCC